TAATAGGCCATTCGACTCATTCTGCAGTACTAAGTATTTTTCTGCTGATCGAGAATGCTGAAAGTACCTATTAAACATGTTGGAGTGTTTCAACACGATTTTTAGAGACTGATTTTCCTCAAAATCGAATAGGTTAACTCTTTCAGGCAATATTGGATTGGAGAAATGCTAGGAACAAATTCCTCAAAAGTCTTCATACAAAAAATATAAAATATTACAATACCAGTAAAAAAATATTAGAATATTAGGGATAGGGTAGGTACTTTGGAGACACCAATATCCTGAGGGAAGGACTCAAGCAGAGTGAAAAAAAATTTATCAAGATAGCCATACTTATATTAACAATTTCAAGTTTGGATCATAATTTGAGTGTAAACTGAAAATTTCAGTGTGCAGTTACAAGATCAATTCGTTGATTAAACCGTTATTGCAAATTGGGGCTTAATTAACTATTTTAATCTTGCAATAAAATTATTCTGGCTATCAAGCTTGTTTCCACGGAATGAATATTTTTCAAATTCACATTTTTTGCTTCCACGTGATTATGGATGATTCAAATTCTCTTTGATCTGTATTAATTAATTTGTTTCCTTTGAATTATTCCACAAATAGATTTTCCAATAGAGCATCTTCATCTTAAACATGCTCAGTCCAAAAGTAAAAATCCTATATTTATTTTGTTCTTTCATCATTCATAATCAGAGTAGGTATTCATGTCACCTCAGTCACTATTTCAAACAATAATTATTATCACTACCTCAGTATGGTAATCTCTGATATAAAGTGATGCACAACATTCTTATTTTGGTTAGGAGAATCAGCTCAAGAGGTATTTCAGTGCATCAGAAACACTGTATGAGTGACATGAAACTGATGAACGTTCCTAATATACAGGGTGTTCAAAAAATCTGGACAAGGACGAAAAAAAACTAACCATGTCCATTGAAGGTTCTGAAGATGACCCCTACTCAGGCCTTGCTGATATTTATCATGTTGGGTATCGTTTAATATATCTTTTGAAAATATATTTGATACGTTTTTGTTTGATGTCACGTGCATTTCTCGAGGTATTTGATCGTTTTCATACTTGCAGATATCAAAGAAGTAGTCCATACTCGAAGTGGAGAGGAATGATCAACGAGGAAAACTCAAAATCGTCTCCACAAGTTCAATGGCAAAAGAGCAGTCAATTCTGCTTAATTTTTTTTCAAGAATGAGACATGTTTTGACCATTCAAATGGTCATCATCAGTCATTGTGCAATAAAGTTGATGTGGAATTGGCTAAAACACATCATGATGACGAACAATTCGTGGTTAGGAGGACATCATCAATTATTTATAGAAAATCAAGAAATATTTTCGAGTTTTTTGAAGGAATGTGATCGTTTTGTTTCCCAATGCCGATGACATCGAATTTTTGGAATGACTGGCTCTGCCTTTCTCCAAAAGACTATCAAAAATATATGTATTTTTATTTTTTTTAGTAATAATTGATGATGTCCTCCTAAACAAAAATTTTTCATCTTCATGATGTTTTTGCCAATTCCACATCAACTTTATTGTAGAATGGTAATGTAATGAAGCAGAATTGACTGCTTCTTTGCCATTGAACTTGTGGAGACGACTTTGAGTTTTTCTCGTTGATTAAAGAATTATTTGAGATTGAAGCGCCATCTGTCAGGAATCGAAAAAATTGTCTCAAATAAAGCGTACCTAGGTTATAATGTACTTTTAGAATGCGAATTTGCGATAAAAAATTGCGTTTTCATTATTGGCGGCTTCTCAGTGGAGGTAACGGAGACTGATGAGCCTCCTCAAGAATTTCCATACATCGACTAGTTCGATATACTTGTTCAAAATATTACACCGATATAGCTAACTCAAGTTCGTTTTATCGGTTTTATTTCCTGATATCAAGTAGGATTTGAGAATTCGGCAAGAATGTTCTCATACTTAAAACATCTTAAAAGTATTCAGAATGAATGAAATTCCCCAGAATTGCGAGAGCATGTGTGACTCAGATGTTAATAAGAATAATATGGTGTTTGCACTGATGCGTTTTTGTTTTGTCCAAACTTGACGGAAATGAACCGATGAAAATTGCAAGGTTCTTGTTACATCTTATTCTAATAGATGTCGCTGTACGAATTCTCTTTAAAATTGAAATAGAAACTGAATTATCTATCAGAATGAACATACCTACACCATTTCTGTTTTTTTTTCTGTCGTAAAGTGATTTTAGTTATTTGGTCCGATGACCATTAAGAATAAAGTACAAATAAGCCTTGATTGTTGAATGGAGCACGAGCCGCCAGTGGTTTCATTCAAGATTTTAGAATCGCCTAATCTTCCAGGATGGTGAAAGTTGAAAGAATTCGGATAGATTTATTGAACCATCAAACAGACGGTTTTTTATTCTTCAATCGCGTGTATTTCTCCAGATGTTCCACCATTTCCAGACTTCTCGAACACCCTGTATATTCGCACGTCAACCCCTACTTGTGTAAGCCTGTGACGAATCGAAAACTAAGTCAAAAACTTGAAGGAACACAGAATGCAAGTATAGGTACCTACCTACCAGGTACTATACTTCCTGAAAATAGCAGCCGAAAATATTGCTAAATATGAAATAACCCTATATAAATTTATTGATATCAATAAAATTATGTTTCGACTTTTCACAACTACTATGAGATATAATATGATGAAAAACCATTTGGGTGCTATAAGACAGAATTACTTCGGAATACACAGGATGTTCCTTGATGTCATGCTAATAAGGGCGATTATTGAACCCATTTCGAGAAAAAAACTTATATGACCCTATGTCGTAAACGTCTCAACTTTTGAGATACAGGGGGTGTCAAAGTTGATGCAGAATAATGAGTTTCATCCAATTACTATATACAGGGTATGTCAAGACGAGCTTACCCTCTTCCTTTATATCGAGAATCAGTCGGGAGAAATCCATGAAATTGTGCATGCTTATATTTTAGAATACGCTCTCTTCATAATAATATTTTCGACAATGCAGTGTTGCCGCTTCTACTGGAAAGTAGTAGCAACATTGATATTTCAAATGGATCACCTTGCTGTATTTTATCGCATTTAAAGATTCTCTCTGGAGAGCAGATTTTATCGATAAATCACACTTGAGGTCTATCGAAAATGATTACAGAGATATCGGGTGTTCGAAATCGAGATTTTTCAACTCTAGAATTTTTATGTGTTGAAACTATTAATTATCGGTCAAATAAGCTCACATGTCCCTATCTCAACTTTTGATTCACGATTTACTGATATTTGATCGGAACAGATACAGGGTGGTTCTTCAATATTCAGAATTCTGATCACCCTGTATCTGTTCCAATTAAATATCAGTAAATATAGTAAATCAAGAGTTGAGATAGGGACATTTGAGCCGTTTTGGCCAATAATGAATAGTTTCGACACAAACAAAATCAAGCATGCATATTTTCATAGATTTCTCCCGACTGATTTTCGATATAGAGATAGTGTAAGCTCGTCGTTATATACCCTGTATCAAAGTTAGGCAATTCAAGGTTAGTTTAGTTCATTGTACCAGTATTTCGTCATGTCGTGTGATTGTGAATTTTCTGGAAATCTTATCGTTTGTGAAGTTTTCACAATTCATAGAAACTTCCAATTCCAAAACATGCCAACGAATCAAGTCCATCAATATGTTCTTGACATTGAGAAACACCCTGTATAAATATAAATCGAATGATTCTCATTTGAACTGTATGAACTAATTTAATAAAATATATGACCTACTATGGGAAACTTAATACATAAGACTAATTCAATGGTATCCAATATGAATATTCGAGAGTTTGACGCTTACAATTTCGCAGATGATTCTAAGGAAGGATCGAAAAGTGGCAATAATTATTCATACACCAAGGTGTATATTCCATTTTTTTCACCACTAGCAATACAGGGTGTTTCATAATATATGCGCAGGACTTCAGGATGTCATAGCTCGTTCAAAAATATGAAAAGAAGTTTCTATCAACTTACCCTCTGAAATGCACTATTTTGGATATACAGGGTGTTGGAATTTGAACAAAAAATCGTGGTTTGCGAATATTTCTAGAACCGTCAATCGCACAAAAAACAGCATTCGTAAGCGTTTTCTACTCATTATAAGCTATGTTTAGTGCGGATTTTTTTTTTTCATAATTGGTGATGGTTTTGAAGGGTAGTGAGTGTTTTCCTCCCCAACTTCTACACACCGCTGGAGAAAGTACAGTTTTGAGCAACCCATTTGAACTGCCAATATTTCCTACACAAAAAAAATATTTTTGGTCAAAGGCTCTAAATTTGACCGTTTTCGAGAAGAATCTACTTTTATGTTGAAAATCATAGTATTTTTTTTAAATTGCTGAGTGCATTGAAGCTTACCACGGACATTTCCAACAATTATTAATTTAACTGAGAATGATTTTCCATTGTTTTTTTTGTTCAATTTTGTGATGTGAAGTTAACCTTTGCTTTTGTTACTTATTCTAGAGTATAAATAGATTTTGTTTCATTGGTAACAAAAAAATTGTTTCAAAAATGTACCATGATTTTCAGCATGAAAGTTGATTTTTCTCAAAAACGGTCAACTTTAGAGCTTATGACCACGAGTATCTTTTTTGTATAGAAAACATTGGCCGTTCGAATGGGCAGCTCAAAACTGTACTTTTTGCAGTGGCGTAGAAGTTGGGGAAGGAAACATTCACTTACCCTTCAAAATCTCCACCAATTATGACTTAACAAAAAATCCGCACAAAACATAGCTTAAAATGGGTAGAAAATGCTTACGAAAACTGTTCCTTGTGCAATCAACAGTTCCAGAAATATTCGCAAAAAACGATTTTTTTTTCAAATTTCAACACCCTGTATCTAGAAAAAAGTGCATTTTAAAGGGTTAGTTGATAGCAACTTTTTTTTTAATATTTTTTGACGAGCTATCAAATCCTGAAGTCCTGCGCATATATTATGAAACACCCTGTATATTTCCATTATTTTCGTGAAACTGAAATTTTGACCAATTGTTTTATGAAAGCACTTCTCAATTCTAATTGAAGTTTGGTAACCATGACCATGACAAGTTGTTGATAAATACCTACTAGATTTGAGTGACATTTCTGCGAATCCCGCATCAGAACAGTGAATTCAGGTTAATTACAACAAAGGTGGCTATAAATCGTAGAAACCATCCATACTCAGAGTGGTCCAATGTATTTTCAATGGAAATAAATACTCGAAGTCAGTCGACCAAACTTTATGTGAAAATTAGTCAATTGAGGTCTTTTCTATCTTGAACGAGAGAGAGGAAAGTTCTCTACTCTTCCATCTTTCTCTTCAATGATACCAAGGTACCCATCGAGCACAAACATCCCTGGGATGTTTTGGGATGTTTTGAAAATGTTGGCATGAAGATGATATTTTTAGACGTAATATGCACTGACCGAAGAGGTCTTTGAAGGATATTGAAGTATGGTTTTTGTTCTTCTGTGGCATTTCTTTGTTTACCTACTGAGAGGTATCCCTGGGATGTTTTGGGATGTTTTAGAAATGTAGGCATGAGGATGCTTTTTTGAGGCGTAATATGCACTTCCCAAAGAGGTCTTAGAAGGATATTGAAAGTATTGTTTTTGTTCTTTTGTGCCCTTTCTTTGTTTGCCCCACCACAATTTGTTTTCGATTTTGTTCTTCTTGTTCGCAATTGACATTCGCGTTTGCAGCGTGTCACGCTTACATCACGCTGCTAACGAACAGAAAGGAATTTGGTGAAGTTTATTGTGTTAGAAGACTTATTCAGTTTGTAATAATGACCATCAGATGCAAGATGTTGTTCGGTGCCTCAGTGTCATCAATATATAAAAGTACGAATTTATCAATACACAGCTTCTCCGCAGTTGCAAAATTATGCATTGTGGAGAACATTTAAAAAAATGGGAAACCTATTTCCAATTATATGTCTGTGTGTAGTAAGCACTACTCAGATTAAGAAGGTATAATTTCATATCAAGAAAATATTTGTGTTCAATCTATTTTTAATGCATTTTTTCATTCAAGGGAAATGGAATCCTAATGCAAAAGTTCATTTTGACAAAAGGCTTCAGAAAAGTACCTCGAAAATGGTTTTTCTTACAGCGATTTAATGTGCGCAAGACGCGTTGAAAATGTTTTGTTGTGTCCATGAAAAGGCTTTAAGAAGAACTAGGGAGAAGGTAGTTTTGTGACATATCAAGGACATCTCGATAGTTGCCGCCTGCGGCGGACATTGGCTGTTCTATAATAGTTCTATTCATGTGTGAACAGAACATCGCAGTGGAGGTTCAATGTCTCGAAATCTCGTACTTTTAACATCTCTGAGATTTTTTTGTGCTTGCTGGGTAGCCGCATTGAAATATAGAGAGGTCTATTTTTGAATTCAGCAGAGAGTCAAATTTAATAACGATATTAACAAATGATGTCAAAATAAGTATGATATGATTCGAAATTTAATTTAAAGAATTCCAGAGGTTACCAGTCAATGACATTCATGACATTGGCATGTCACATCATTATAACATCGAAAATTGTTCAGTGGCGCAGAGTAGACGTTAGAAAAGGAAAACTTTATCGGATCTCTCGATATTTCAATGCAGCCACGTTGGTAGCACTGAAGAGAAAGATGGAAGAGGAGAGAACTTTCCTCTCTCTCTCGTTCGAGGTAGAAAAGAGCTCAATTAAAAAGTAACCGGTTTCGGCACAACGGCCATCATCAGACTGCAATACCTTATAAAGACACTATGAGTTAGGACATCATTGGGTTGACCATCAAGGTCTGAGAAAATTTGAGATTTTTCTGGCTCTTCGCAGCCGTTTCAAACTTACTTCCACCTGACTTACCTTGATGATGGTCAACCCAATGATGTTTTGACTTATTGTGTCTTTATAAGGTTTTGTAGTCTTATGATGGTCGTTGTACCGATATGATTACTTTTTAATTGACCAATTTTTACATAAAGTGTGGTCGACTGACTTGGTAGTAAAAACACACTTTAAGCCTCGAAAAGGAGTAAATAATGGTAGGTTTTATAGCTAGTGGTGGAAAAAATGATTCATCAGTTGAAGAAACCAAATGTGAAACATTTGGTGCTTTCAAAGCTCAAGCATATTTTTGTAGATCTCATCAAAAATCGTCGAAAATCTCAACAGTCGGATTATTCAGTTGTTTAGCATGTTGTGGCAAGGCGTTGTTGTGATGAAATTATTTTACTCACTTGAGCAAGATGTAGAGAATTATTATTGCCCTTCTTCTAACATGACCTGAGTTTTTCTGAAAATTTTTTTATAGGCGGTTTCATTTTGAAGAGTCAAAAGAGATGCCTCAACTTAGAAAACATCCTGTATAGGTGATGTATAATAAAAGTTGTGTTTCAGTGTACTTCATATAAAATTTGTGCTATACGCAGTGAAAATTAAAACACACTTGTGGGATACAAAACTACACAAAAAAATATTGGCGAATTGGGAGTAGAAAAATACATCGATTTGTTAGAATATTTTCTAGTATTTTTCTAATTTTTGATCGACCTACAATTTACAAAATCTTCAACCTCAATATAGTAAAACATGAACACCATTAATCATTTCAAAATATCATAATTTTTAAGCCTCGTTCTTTTTATTTTTAATTCGAGTAATATATATTTTTTTTATTTTCGAGTTCTTGGAATGACTGTGAACGTGTCTGTCAAAAGCTGTGATTGAGAATTTTCAAATATATCAGATGTGATAATAATACAGGGTACCAATAAATTCCTAGAACAAAAATAATATAGATTCATATTTATATTGTTTGATGTATATCTAATTTAGTACATAAACGCAAGTATTGTTTTTGAACAAGGTTATCGGATTTACCGACACCCCGTATATTATGTCATTCGATAAATTTGAATAGTAGAGGCAAAAATATGAGTATGGTTTTAAAAATATACCTACTTAACTAATATTTCCCGTATTCCAATCGTGTTCCATATTTCAAAAATTCCAAAGGGTCTATATTTTGTTCCATAAAATTGTCCTGTTTCCTAGGTGCTTAGAAGTTTTCTATTTTTATTATGAAACTAGCCTTTTCATTTCAGATCATATAATTTTGGAAAATAATTCCTAACGTTAAAATAATGTTATGCAAAATATGGCACTAAAGGTGATATAACGACATCTGGAAACAGAAAAATTCAATGGGACAATCCAAACACAGTCAAAGACAAAGAATTATTTGACAGCAGTAGGCCTAGGCGCAACAGTCGCACCAGGAATTTTTCCCAACACTTTGGAGAGATCGATTCCAGTTAAGGCGTTCACGGCCGGCGGTATTTGGCCGACTAGTCTAGCTATTTCCGCAGTCGTGTTGTCTGGTCCTCCTATCAAGACGATTTCTTCGGTTTTGGCCAAAGGAGCAGATACCTCTGCAGCAATCTGAAACGCGAACAATTCATAGATATATGGCCATCTTGATATTCATTTTCTTTATTCGTTTAGGTCAAATACATGGAAATCTATGTAAGAGAGCGGAAAAATGGTGTAAGTACCTATTTATCATATGTATTCAATCTCAAATCTGCCAAAGAACATGACTGGCAAGCTCAGGAAAAATACAACTCGCAGTGTTGTATTTGTAATGTATGCATAATATTGCATAAAGGGTGCATAGACTGCGACCTAAAAGATTTATTATGCCACCTTCTTTTCCCAGGCAACCAGATGACGTTTCAGTGACGTCTTTTTACGTCAGTTGAATGACCAAGGTGACGTCAGGAGTTGACGTCGTATGACGTGATAAATGACGTCATATTACTCACGTTTACTGACGTCATTCACTCACCAAACTCTGACGTCGAGCTGAAGTCAAAATGACGTTCAAATTTGGTGATGACACGTGAAAAAGTTTCCTCGAACATCGTGTGATAATCACCACTGACCTCTGGTGACATACAGAGAAGTGCACAAAGAACGGCTAAGACTGTATCTTTTGAATTATTCGAGATAGGGTTTTGAAAATTGGTAGGTAGCTAGTATATAATTGCTCATTAATTGACGAAACAATTTTTGTTTTATTACTTCCGGTTTTACTGGAAACGACCCCAACTTTTGATTTTTAAATGGGACACCCTGTATTGTATTCCATAATCGGTTAGGGATTGTCATAACGATCTCATCGATACCTGATAGGGTTATTTCAAACGATTACGCAGATATTCGCGTTCTAGGTTTCCATATGCTCAATGAGTGTGACAGAGAATAAAGAAGTTTTCATGTTGCAAAGTCCTATTTTACCTTTCTGAGTGACGTTCCTTCGACGTCGAGATGATGACGTGACTCTCACGTCATAGTGAAGTCATAAATTGGTATGTGACGTCTCTGACGAAGAATCATCAAGTAGGGACGTCATAGTGACGTGATCATTCGTCATATGGTTGCCTGGGTAGCTCATATAACCCCAAATAAGCTTTAAAACGAGGTTTGCAGCTAAACATATATGCCCAAAAGATCCACACTCCCCAGACCCACTGGAAGCGGGATTAATTTAGAAGTATGTCCTAGGTTGTAAATAGCTACTAATCCGGGCATGCAGGCCGTGAATAAGGCCATTCTAAGCCATGGCCTGGGGCGCACACTTGCGAGAGGCGCAAGATACGGGGAACTCCGACGTCACCTGACGAAGACGATCACGTGAATGCCGCCATCTTTTTCAATATGTTTTTTTTTCTTGATAGTTAATATCTGTTATCTACTTACTTAAATTGTGAATATATGCCTTTCATATATTTCGAAATTGTAACCAATGTTATTGCTTGATTAATACGAATTTTTTCTTGGAAAATTACTGAAAATATATTCATCAGGACTTGACATAAAACTATGTGTTGATGGTTCAAATAGCCCCAAAGGAGCTCTGACACGAGGTTTGCAGTTATATATGCCAACAAAATTCCACACTCCCCAGCTACTGGAAGAGGGAGTCATTTAGAACTCTGGAGGGCGTAAATAGCTGCTAATCCCAGCATACTTCTGGCCTCACAAAAAATGTTTGAGCTCCTTTCCTAGAGAGTTCGTCTACTACTTCATTTCCATCTACTCTGAAATGTCCCGGAACCCATAGCAAGGTAACTGTATTTCTGTTGGCTAGCTCGTTAGTTTTTTTCGACATCATTTTGGAGCTGATGACTATGATATGATATCTCGTCTTTCATCGTTTTATTTCGACTGAGCTCATATTTCTCTATAGCGTGAACTTCTGCCTGGGAAATTTCGCAAGTCTTTCGGAGTAGACCGTAATACAGTTCCATCTTCAGTATTGAAGCCATTCGTTTACCACTTTATATGGCTCCTACTTTCAGCAATGCCCATCATGGATTCATCTTTCCATTCTTTTTCGCAGGTCAACCTAATGGTGAATTGTTTGTCACAAAAGCTGTATTATGGTTAGACTTGATGGGCAACTATGTGAAACTATATACGCAATTTTCACCTCAACACAGAAGAAGATATTGTAAGGAGGGGCCAAATGGAATGAAAAGAAGTTTACCTAATAGTTCTACCAACTTTGCTTTGACCTCACGTATCACGCGATCTGGTGGACAATAATCAAAACATGTTAGCTCTCATTGGAAGAATTAACCCTATTAATCAACTGAAATCAATGAATTTGTTCATAATTATCTCATGATAACTCACGATTTCACACATGTAAAATAGGAAGCAAAATGTATTCTCACCTTTGGTAAGGCTTCGAGGACAATAGACATGATGGCAGCATCTCCGTATTGCTTGTACACAGCAGCCTTTTGCCTCATTCTCTCGGCATCTGCTTTACCCACACTGACGATCGCAGAGGCCTCTGCAGTACCAATCAGTTTTATCCGTTCGCTTTCAGCTTGGGCGTTTTGTACAGTCTGTGTCCTATGTAATAAATACTTCATGTAAGGGTGACTTTATAAAAACTTTTAGCATTTAAGATTCAACATTTAAACATTTAAGACTTAAGAGTCTTAAGTGGATTCAGTTATAAAAAAAATCAAGATGATAGTGCGATTCATGTCTTCCAAGGTTGGTAGAACTGATTATAATTTGTATAGGATACAGAACCAGATTTTCAAAGTTTAGTTAGTTTAGAATCGTCTGTGAAGTTTTTACAGTTAGATAAAAATTGGTTGGAAATCAAAATGTGCCCACATCTATTATATCTCCACATTATTTAGAAAGTAATCACGATTCCTTGCCTAACAGAAACCGGTTCACTATGGAGGCAACAGAGAGTTAAGGTGACATGCTAGCGTATTTTTTTTAAAACGGTTCAGTATCCATATTTTCTATCAGAAGAAAAACAAATATTCCGGAATAACAACCCATGATATTATGAATAATTTTTGAATGGCAAGAAATTGAGATGACAATTTAGGATGCGCATTCCTTATTCCATTTATGATCATTTATCAGCACTTCTTAAGTTGGAAGTTGGCCATCTTCTTAAATCTTAAATGTGGAATCATAAGTCTTAAATGGTTTTATAACATAATCAATGATATTTCCATGTTCCATCTGTCATAAGTAATTTTTTTTATAAAGTGGCCCTAATACATATTATGTGTACCAATAAATTTAAAATTACAGTTCTCAACCATATCTGATGGACTATCGAATAAAATTCGTGATTGCAGTGAAAAGGCTCTTTATTTCTGTAATTCTTCACAAGTGATAATGATAAAGAGAGAGCGCCTAAGAAAGGCTTTTCACTGCAATCACAAATTTGTTCGTTAGTCCATGAGATATAGTTGGGAAAGAGTAGAACATGGGATTGTGACAGCTCACTATACATTAGTATTTCTTATTGATGTCATTTTATTCATAACTCCTTCCGGTTTTGGTAGGTACCACCATATTGTAGTTACCTAAACTAATGATTTCCAAATTATGAAATAATTTTCAAAAATGAATCACATATTTTGACAAATACTGAATTGTGAAGTGACATAAATATACTGGAGACTGGAGTAGTGGAGTAGGGTATTTTTTGAGAGCTCTTTGGAAGGTCTTTCCAATGGTGAGGAAATATTTATTATTTGAAACTTTTACGCTTTTGCTGCTCCCTCTATATTAACCTATATTCCTAGATAGGTAACTACTGAAAAAGCAGAAAACACACGTCGGAAATGATAACTTCTATGGCCGGTCAGTATTTCCAATATCTTTCGGACACTACGGGGGAAATCTCAATGAAGTAGTATTACTTTTATATATTTCCACGTATCCGCGAAGAGGATGAACTAGATTTAAAAATATTCATGGAGAAATTCAGTTCCAAAAAATCATGAATATATTGAAAAAATAAAAAAAAATTGATTGTGTTGATTAAATCGAGATTTTTTCATTTGTACTGAGTTTTTTTATTTATACCCTTTTGTTCTCCTCAAATATGGAAATAATGAGAATAATTTTCATATATTCGCCCAACAATATTTGTTGAATAGATTCACAGATAGAAAAGCACGGTTATATACCAAAAAACATGTGTTGAAATAAAAATTTTCTTCTTCGATGCTCGGTGTTCACTGGAATACTGAAGGTGCAGATGCAGCGACCGTCACATATCAACCAGACACTGGTACGCGCGCTTTCGTGACGCGAGTCCGTCCGTTCACTTCCAAAATTGCTGTACTTCGTGTTATCAAATATTTATTTTGCATCTATCATGGTTTATAACTGGATAAGAATCGTTTTAATGTCATGTTCATAGTTGATTCTACTTCCGACGATACAACTACATAAATCAACATTTTCAGATTGACCTTTTTGATCAATCTTCATTTTGTTATAGGTACCTAGCTATCTGAAATGCACTTTCAACAAGTGGGTGACTTGGGATGAAATCGTGGTATTCCTTCAATTTGAAACAAGTGCTCATAGGTATTTCACAATAAATAATCAACTGAATGAACATTACATATTTTCGCGATAACTGCACATATTCAACTGCGGTTTTTTGCATTTTAAAGATAAAGCCATTGGTTATATTATGACTACTACACCTTTTCTAGTTGTATTTCAGGAAGATTCAATTGTATTTCAGAATAGTCACTTGTATTTCAGAAAAGTCACTTGTATTTCAAATAGCGTAATTGTATTTCATCACGGTCAATTCAATTTCAGAAACCGTCAATAGTATTTCAGAATAGTAAATTGCATTTCAAAAATAAGTATCATTTGTATTTCAGAAAATATCAATTGAAATTAAAATGACACTACTTGAAATTCAATTGACTATTCTAAAATTCAATTGACTATTCTGAAATACAATTGATGCTTTTTGAAATACAATCTATATTCTGAAATACAATTGACGCTTACTGAAGATATACTGAGATACAATGGGAAAAGGTGTAGACCGGTAATGTATATACATGGTGACATCTGGTTATACAGGGTACCAAACAAACCTTTGCAAAATATCGAAACTTGATGCTCCAGCATATTATACTCATAACAGTTCTGCAATTGTCCTCTTATCTCTTCAAGTACCTATTCAAGAAATAATATTTTTGAAAAATGTGAGATTTTACCTTGGATCGTTTGTGACCTATACCTGTATGAAATCTTATGTAAAATGAACTCACTATTTGGAAACAAGTTAAAGGAGTGGTGGGTTCTATGGTTTTAGGAAATATATTCAGGGGTAATTGTTTTCCTATTCAACTTACCGATGTCCTTCGGCGAGAATTTCGACTTTGTAACTTTCCGCTTCTGCCGGTAGGCGCACAGTGGCGTTCAGTTCGCCCTCTTTTCTGAGTACTTCTTGCACCTCGATCTCGATCTGTTTCTTCCTCTCGACGACTTCGATTTGGATTTCTTCGTTTCGGATTTTCTGTCGAATTTTCGCGGCTTGTAACTCGTAGGCTAGCTGAGCCTGAGCTTTCTACAAAAAAAAAAACAAAATAAATTTGAGGCAAGAAGTGGATAATAATGATGAGAAGATAAGATCTTAAATTGAAAATTTCACATCATATAAATTGATTGATTGATTGATATTGTAACGCATTACCATAGCAACTAAATGAATTTTCAGAAATGTTTTCCTCCTTGACATTTATAGGTGAAATGACATTGACATTTGACTTTAGATCATGTCGGATTCATTCAATAAGTTGACACGAGTTCCTTATGAGAAAATATATTTCTACCAGTATTTTCCGGACTTGTTACGTATGTACATTACTTTTCTACCAATTTTGAATACAAGAATTTGTGGAAAACTGAGAGATTTTGCTACAATCGATTTATTTTTATTATTTCATTTTACTAAAGTCGTTTAATTATATTTTATTCAACCTGCTATAATAATATTACGTTAGCGAATTTCTTTGATACTAAATAGTACTTCGAGTTTCTTGTGAGGAAATATATTTCCACCAACTTGAGTAAAATGAATTTGTGAAAAACTGAGAAATTGAGCTACTATCTACTTATTTGTTATATTTTTTTGTAACTATCAAGTAAGTCGATTGTGTTTTATTTGAACTAAAAATGTTATGGATGTGAATTTTATTCATGCTACGACATACTGCTTCGAGTTCCTTGTAACAAAATATGTTTCCACCAATTTAAGTAGAATTCAAAGTTAGTCAAGAATAATGGTTTGAATCACCACCATGCTATCTACGTTAATGATATTTTGCGTAACCAAAGTCGAAATAGCCGTATGTGAGTAGTTTTGGATCGATGTCATGAGCGAAATTAGAGCAGCACGCTGGAGTATGTCAATCGACGAATATTTCCAGGAAAAATAGTATAATATAATTATATGAGTTTTTGAGACTTGGAGACTTGGCAACATTGTGTTGAATGTTAAGAAGGGAAATGACCACGCCCACAAGTCGTGCCCGCAGTGTTGTCACGTTCACCGCTTCAAATATCCTCTAGTGTGCATTAATATAATTACTATTTACACACATGTATTATAAGCAAGAAGCCATAAATCATAAGAAAACATTTCGAGACAATTGAGTTCGTATTGCTGAAGAGGAATATTACCAATACATAATTGAGAATTTATGAATGTTTGAATAACTTATATTTCTGTAGTTCTCAATCGTATTTCGACACATGGCAACTGTGTTATGGTATGCTCCTACTTACGAAATCGTGACGTCAGTTTTTACTCGCGGTGAATTTTTAGGCATTATTGAAGATTTTGTCACCTTAAAATCGACCGAAAAATTCTAAAAAAAAAATATGGAAATGAAAAGTATTCGAGTGATGATTCTATTTAAGAAATATAAAAAAATAGTCTACTTGCCTATTGTATTACCGAATATCACTCTAGCTTCAATTAAAAACCATATTTTTTTTTGATGACGAATGATCCACTGTGACGTCCCTAATTAATGATTTTTCCTCAGAGACGTCACATACCAATTTATGACGTCCCTATGACGTGATAATTACGTCATCGTTTCGAAATCGAGTGGACGTCACTTAGATGGGTAAAAGAAGACGGCAGTTTCATGACGTTGCAGGGACGTCCTGTCGACGTTCGTATATATTATCATGTGAAACAGAAGTATAACTCATGATAGCAAATCAACGTGCAAGTTTTATTGGAATTATCAATATACCCGAAAGTAGAAAACTTTTCTCTAAAAAACTTTGACACCCTGTATATCTCAGAAACTAACAAGCTATGTATATATACAAATGATTGTTGAGGTATACCTATAATTAAACCGTTACTCCTATCACGTTGCAGTGACGTATCTATGACGTCTAAAAATCACGTCGGTGTGACGTACCAATTTGGTGATCTTCGTCATTCAGAAATTTTTTCAATAATTTGTTATTCAGATTTTTGTTGGGTGACAAAGAATACATCAATATACATTATTCAACAAAGTGAAGCCAAATTCGCCAACATCCTTTCCATTGCTATTAAACTATTTTTTGTTTGCTTACACCTCGCCGACACAAACTACATAATTTTTGATACAAATACAACTAACTGATAACATTCTGATGGAGATGCGTACTGAAGGATAGCGCTGCTGAATAGGCGATTGAATGAACATGACACAGGAGGGACCCACCAACCAGACTCAACAATTCATAATCAATATTATATAATGTCATCATTGCCGAATTTAATCGTCATTTTGACGTTCATTATGACGTCAGTCGGACGTCACAGTTTGGTGAGTGAATGACTTATTCACGTCATTATCACGTCATGCGACGTCAACTACTGACGCCACCTTGGTCATTCAAGTGACGTAAAAAAGACGTCAATGGAACGTCATCTGGTTGCCTGGGTATAAGTGAAAATTATCTTGTTCAGGGGTATTTTTGATATCTTGGAGGAGGTAGCTCTCATTATCATCATATCTCATGATTACAAAAAAAAAACTAATAATGAGGTCTGAACTTATCACATGATCATCAGAATCAAGAATACCCATGGGAATTGAAAATTACAAATGAAGAATTCTTACGGCAGTGTTGATTTCCTGGTCAAAATTGGCCTTTTGTAGTTTGAACATTCTAGAATTATCTTCTATCTTAGTGTCCGTAGAATATTTGACATCCATTGCTGACTTTTGACATTCCGCTTCCTGCAAAAAAGAATATGGTTCAGGTCGAATGAAGTGTAGGTCATTTGTAATTTCGTGTAATTTTCTTGGTGAAACAAAAGCTCACATCATTTCTGAAGAAGGTATATAATGATGGAAAAGAAAGTAAACTCCAAATCATCTCAATAATTTTGAAATTGTGCAGATAATTTGGAGTTTATTACTCGCTTCTTCATCTACAACAATCCACTTTGGGAAACTATATATGAACTTCTACCTTCGATTAGTCTAGAAGACCAGATTTTTTTTATTCCTATAATTTGATCAAGGATACAATATATTGCAGTATATCTTCCTTTTCAAAAAAAATGGAAGTTTTCAGTCCGACCTCTGAAAAGTTATCACCAAATCTGTACGTATGAAACACTTGCAGGTCACTGATGATGATCAAAAATATTTCAAAACGTGACTTACAGTCACAGACCATGCCATGCCAAAAATTATGAAAATCGATCTCAGACTACTCTTTTTATGAGCAAAATTATTTTTTTCCAAAAAACTTCCAACACCTTGTACCAACTCAACGATACGATTTTGGATATAGGTAAGTTGGCCTGAATCAACTTGTTTTTATCCCAGGAGTCCACAGCCGAGCCATGTCCCAACCTTTTACAGACACCCTGTATATGTATCCATTTTTGTGTTCATAAATACAGGGTGCCCCATAATTAGTGTGCAATACTCCACCAGCAGATTTAACGATTTAAAATATGAAAAAAAGCTCCTAAAAAAATAGGTCGAACAATGTCTCATAAGCGAGCTACAGCCCCTTGAAGGTGGTACCCTGGAGATGGTTTTTTCTTCGAAACTGTTGATAGCAGAATTATGAAATTCTGCAAATCGGCCAATCTTTCAATGCCTAATGATATGCGATAATAATGATTTGAAAATTTTATCCAGGAATGGGTCAAACTGTGGAGGGTGGGGGGTAAAATCACCTCAACTTTTTTTAGTGCTGTTTTTTTGCAACTTCAGCATGAAATTATGAAACTTTGAAGCCTTTTGCATGAAAAAGTTCCTCTTGTTCAACTTCGATAGGAAGCACCGTTCTCGAGTAAAATCGATTTGAAAATTACTCCATCCATATGTTATAAAAATTCATATGAAATCAGAAAAATTCAAAATTTGAGGAAGGCTATGTACAACCAGTATGTTTGGGCATTGTCGATCTAAACGAAAAACTACTGAACTAAGTATAACTACAATGGTTTGGGAAAAGACAATCAAGTCAGGTGATATGAAAATTCATGAAATAAGTGACAGAAATATTGTAAAGTCATTCAATTTATGGAAAAATACTTATCAAATTTATCTGAGCGACATTTTTTTCATTCAAGTAATTGTTCTTCAATTTATGGAAAAAATGCTTATTGAATAAATCTGCGCGACATTTTTTTCAGTCGAGTAATTGTTCAAAGTGGCTTCCATTTTGTTGGACGTATATAGTCGGGCCCGACGACTAATAGGTTGAGAAGCACGCAAAATTGAAATTGGTTTGTTCTTATTTCATTGTTCGACCTATGTATATATAGGACTTTTTTTCATATTTTCAATCGTTTAATTTGCTGGTGAAGTATTGCACGCTAATTATGGGACACCCTGTATATCTGAGAATATTCCTTTTCAATATTTCTTCGATGTTTGTGTTTGCGTAATTTTTGAGCTAATTTTATCGTAATAGTACTACTACTACTATCCCGTAAGGACATACAGTGTGACCTACTTCTGATGGAAACACCCCTGTATCTTACGTAATCGTCAGGGTTAGGATCCTGAAATTCGCTGGAGCGAGAGATATACCAAAAATGCACTCTATGACCAAGTGGGGCCATCTCCAGTGATATACACTGCTCGCCAACAGTCATGGAACCACCCCAATTTCCGGAAAATGATATCAGGAGTCAAAATAGGTAAAAAATCACTTCAGATTCGGAATCAGGACGCCCAATTCACTTACTATTTATATTTTTCCTGGAAAATTTTCAGTTCTGAAAAATTAAATTTCGTCGCACTTTTCACGGAAGCACCCCTGTATCTTCCGTAATTGACTTTATCTTTGGACGTATCTCTTCCTTCTGCAAATTTCAGAAACCTACCTCAATAATTACGTGAGATACGGGGATTCGTCCATGAGAAGTGAGACAAAATTCAATTTTTCTGAACTGAAAATTTTCTAGGAAAACTATGAGTAGTTAGTGAATTGGGCTTACTGATTCCGAATCCGAAGTTATTTTCAACCCATTTTGACTCCTAATATCATTTTCCGGAAATTGGGATGGTTCCATGGGTGTTGGCGAGCAGTGTATATCACTGAAGATGACTACACTTGGTCAGAGAATGCATTTTTGGTATATCTCACGCTCCAGCAAATTTCAGAATCCTTACCCAACGATTACGTAAGATTCAGGGATGTTTCCATTAGAAGTGGGAAGTGGGTCACACTATACAGGCTGATTTTAAAATAAGTGCATATATTTTAAACACTAAGAAAGCTTGAGGTATACTACCGAATAGCACTATTAAAAATATTATTAGGATCAAAATAGATTTGGGGCAAAATACCCTTTTTCCGCCCAGATTTCTACTTCTGTCACAACTATCGTTTGCGATCCGCAGTCGACCGTGATGAACGAAGCGACGTTGCCACTCTACATGACAATTAGGAGATATTAAATAAAATGTATAATCGAGAAAATGTACATGGGGAAGAAGTTAACCCTGGTCTATGAATTTCAGAAAGATAATACAAAAACTTTGAAATGGTCTCACCCAAGATTTGTACACATAAGCTAGAAAAGCGTATATCTTAACACCTCCCCTTGGAAGTTCTTTTACTGAAAAATCCTTTAGACCCTTCCTTCCACCTCCTTGCATCGCTACAATTAGTACAATTTCGTGTCATTCGAGAAGTCTCATGGGCCCCGTACAATAACGACCCGACATAAGAACCATATCATTCAGCTCAATGTTTGAGAAATGCATCGTCACTTTCCAAGCAAATTGTCAGAAACAAAACTTTACATTTACTAGTCAGTGTTGTTCCTGGGTCTGATTTTTTCGTAATAGATTTCCTTGGAAAAAGGTATCAGATTTGTATCAAAAGGTAATAGACTCGAAAAATCTGACATTTGACATTCGGAATGTCATTCTTGTCAAACCCTATCGCACTAATCACAGTTTTGACATAAATATAGAACATAGAACGGAACATAATTATCCGCTGAGCACAGAAATAGATTTTTTAGTATTGGAACATATTTTGGTGCTAATAGCAAATAATAGTAATAGATTCATGACAAATCGTAATATCGTAACAATCTTCGTGAAATAGTAATAGAACGCGAACAATCCTAGTTAGTAATGTCAAAGGTCACAGCAAAGAGGAAATCTATGGTCACAGATAGTCAGATACTGCTGTTTTGAGAAATGATGTTGACAGATCATATGATAATAGTTTTGTTTGTGTCGGCTGGTTTGTAAAATAATTGTAAACGTAAAATAAAAAATAAAATAATTGGATGGAATGGACTCGATATTAGTATTTGTTTGCTCTCGGGAGTTTTGCTGTTCGAGCAGGTATGAGAAAATCTATTAGGTGAGTCGATTTTCAACTTTGTGTATGTTGTGTACCTATTTATTGTCTGCTAATTTTGTATCTACCCACTGGGGCCTTATTTTCGAATTGAAGGAAGGGGGACGTTCTATCATTCCCCTCATGTTTCTCTCCGTCTCTCGTGATCCATGGAGATAATCACCCCACAGTTCTCTCAGTAAACTTTAAAAAATAAGGCTCCTGTACATATTACATTCACTTACCTATTTCAATTCATGTTCATTCTGTGACAAATTTTTATCAGGATATTCGTCTCTGAAACAATCTGGCATCACTGTCTTGTTTTGACTTTAGTGAATGACGAATTGTGGATTCCCTAGGATTCCGCAGATTTCACTTGCTTCCCAGTGGCGTACTCGAATTTCGAAGTATTTTATGTTCAATTTTCAAAATGAAATTTCTCGTTAATGTGAAGACTTAGGAAAAATCAAATATTTTAGTAATTTTTGTTAGACTCTCTCATATATATGTCTTGAATATATGCACTCATTTTAAAATCACACTGTATATCGAAAACGGGCCAGCCTGTCCTCACCCGTATCCCGGCGTCCCTGTTGGCTTCCGCCACTCCCGCGTCGGCGTCCCTCTTGACCATGGCCGTTTGCGCCTTGCCGAGAGACGCGAGGTACTGCACCTCGTCATAGACGTCCTTGATGGTGAACGAGAGGATTTCGATGCCCATACGGCCCACGTCCGGGGCGGCCACTTCGCGCACCAACGCGGCAAACTGGTCCCTGTCGCGGTACACCTCTTCGACTGTAAGAGTTCCTGCAAGAAAAGAAGAAGAAGAATTGCAGTGCTGCCGGAGCCAAAATTCGTTATTATCTAACTAGCAGACCTCGCAAACGAGGCGTAGCCGAGTTGAAAAAATAGTCGAGATGACCAAAGTATTTCGCGCTCGAGTTACAAACAACATTTTTTCTACAAAATGTCAAAAAAGGACCCCGCACGAAAACCCGGTAAATTGGCTCTCGGTCGAATTGGGTGAAATTTTACTATGTTATTGTGGGATGGCTCATTAGAAGAATATGTGAGTTTAAAAAGTTTTGTATGTTTAGTTTCTGATATATAAGCCGACAAAGTTCGTAAAAACGTCGTATCGAGGTAGGATTGACAAAGAAAAAAACTGTTTTTTTAGTATAAATGAAACAAAATGAGCTAGAAAATATATTGATCGGAATTCATAAACATGTCTAGTTATAATCACATGAATTATAGTAAATCAGGGTGTATACGAGGCACGGTCAAAAAATTAATTTTTCGGAAAAAAACTCGAGCACTATTCCAAAACCAACAAGTTATATTTTGGTGGGATATTATAGTTTTAGTCTATTGTAGGCTTCGGAAACGTATTTTGATTCTTGATAGCTATCTCTGTTCGAAATATGAATTTTTAGAATTTTGTGTTATACCCTTTTTGAAAACAATTGACAGCTTGTTTTTGATCACAAAGAAAGGGATTGATTGATACTGTTGATTGAATGAAAGCTGAGGTAACTCACTAGCGAATTCAGTTGTTCAATATTGCCTTCCATTTAGTTACAGGGTGTGTTAGATTTTGTTGAAGATTATTTAACATGTTTCAATTGAATATCTCGAAAACAGTTCCGTTAATTCGGATCTCATTTTACTCACACTATTTTGAATATGTTGACTATCATATGCAAACAGTTTTTCAATTTTTTTATGTTTCGTTTCTGAGATATCAATTTTTCATAGTGATATCCGAGGAAATAACCCTATAATACCTGTAATACTGTAAACTCAAAAATGCATATCTCAGAAACGAAACATAAAAAATTTAAAAGCTTTTTGCATATGATAGTCGACATATTCAAAATAGTGTGAGTGAAATGAGATCCAAATTGACGGAACTGTTTTCGATATATTCAATAGGCGAGAACACAATAGCACGAATTCAGTTCAAATGTGCATAATAAATAAATATAACATTGAAATAATGTGTACCAGTAGTTTTTTCAATAATAAATGCTGTCATTATCCAAAGAACGCGTTTGCAAAACCATACAAATTTGTGGACCATTCAAAAAACCAATAATGGCGGATACGTGATGACGTAACAAGTATTGGCGTGCATTTGGCAACGCTGTACTGTACCTTCAAAATATTCTAACATATTTCCTAACCTAAGAAACCGAACTCCTAAACAGGCTAAACATCAAAACATCAGAGTTTTTCTTTGATTCTTCATTTGCTTAATATTTTCTTGTATAATCGAAATATTCAAATCATTGTGACTATTATTGTGACATAGTCTGATGGTTCATGTTTATTGATTGGAGATATGAAGCCAGTATTCGGAAAAGCAATCACAATCTTCCAGTAGTTGATTCAACTATGGTTTTTGAATTCTGCAAGTTCAAATAACTGGCATGAGCTGTTTCATAAAGGTGAAGATTAGTCCAGAACATAAAGTTCGTCCTCCTAAACCATAAAGGGTTGAGGCTGAGGTTCATGAAGCTGAAGAAACTGTAGTCTGGATTGTGCAGTTTCAAAAGGTAAAAGGTACATAAATTCTCGACTTTTTTATAAACTGTATTCTTTTATATTCTTAGGTAGATGTAAACACAGTGTGGCTTTCTTATTATGGTTACATGGAAGATCAGAAGAACCCTCTGTACCTTCTATGGAGTGTTACTGAAAAGTGTTCAACTCAGTGTCCAAACATTCAACATTCATGCCACTTGTAGAATTAGCACCAAAACAAGTTCCTACCCTCCCAGTGGTTCCATCAAAATTTCTTGATGTAGTTTTTCAAGTAGATGGAAAACATGGATGCCAAGGATAAGTGTTTTTGAAAGAGTTTGATTCTGATTCATAAGCTAATTATTTTGTCCAGAAAACATTCATCCAATTTGTCTCCTAGGGGATTCCAAGACTTCATTCATCAGAATATCAGTGACAGTGATTGTGAATTGGTGCAAGATATAATAGTGAATCAAAATGAATCATCATTATCAGCATGGTTTGAAGTTTGCTATGGAAGAATTACTGCTTCAAAGCTATGAGGCACAAAGTGCAAGACATTCGAAGGTACATTAGATGAGCAGGAGAATTTTGAGAATAATGGTAGTTTTCAGTTACTTGAAGTGTGATATGACCCTATATATTCCTTTAGAAAATTATAAAAGATGCTGAAAATTTGTGGCAAACTGTTAATTCCACCCATTTGATAAAATTATAAAATATCAGTACTACAGTACTTTTTTTCTTCTCTTATTTCAAAATTGGACTTATTTAGAGCTCACCAGTGTCTTATAAATAACATATTTCATCATACACAACTTCGAAATCCCTTCTCATATTGATCATACACTATATCTTCACAAACTGGAAATGGTAGGTATATGAAAATCATGTTTACTTCTTGTGGAACAACCTAGTTCATTCATATTTTATTGTCAGTGGCATATTGGTAAGAAAGACCAATACCTATCATAACACCAAAAAAGTAATGAGAGTAGTAAAAAAAAATCCAGTAAGTATAAACCAAGAGAGCACTGGCATATCTAGAAATGATGGAAGATGCAACATCAATTCTCAATGCAAAAAACAAAATCATACAAGCCAAAATTACTAGATAGGTATTATCACTATTTCATGTAGGGAAAATTTGTCAAAAATGTAAAGGAATAGGTAGTACACAAAAATTATCAAATGCCCCCATCTTCAAAATGAAGCAAGAATGCTCAAGAATGTTGGTTGATATTTTCATTTATTGTCCACTTTATGCAGTAGATATAATCAGAACAGTTAAATATTAATAGATATATTTCATTTCTAGAATGAATATAGATGTAGAACATGGAAATATTATATCAATATCTTGTCCAGATCATCACAAAGTTTTCAAGAAAACAAATAAACAAAATTACAAACATATTTGTATATCAATCAGCAACAGTCCTGAGTCATTTTATCACAATATGTTATGGGTCTGTCAATTTGGTTCTGGTTCATAGTATTTGATGTCAGTCTCTTCCATGACAGGTTACTTTTCAGGTTCTTCAAGAAAACTTTCTTTAACTGAAACACTCACTGGTACTTCCAAGGATTTTCCTAAAGGAGAGTCAATATGATTTGAGGAAAGTTCCATTTTATCTCATCTCCCAAATTCTCAAGGGATTATTGAGATCTCTGCTGAAGATAAAAGTTAGGATTTTGATGGGTGTTTTCTCAGTTTTGGACGTTTAATGAATATGGGAATCACATCTTCAGGCATATAAAGTCTAGATCCAATGAGTTTTAATTCCACCGAGTTCAACATGTCATATTCAAGCTAGAACAAAATGAGTATGATCAATCCATATTGAAGAAAAAATTCTACTCACATCAAAACGATTCTCACAGCAAAATATATCATTTGATTCCAGGTATGGTTTATCCATATACTTTGTTCAGTGTTGATTAAGCAGGATGGAACCAAGTTTGTGGCATTTCCTTACAGCCACTGCCATCCCAGGAATGTGAATAAACGTTGATGAAAAAAAATAAATAATTCGATGGCACGAATAAAAATAATATGGGCCGACAAAAATAAATAAACAATAAATAAAATAACAACTGACAGTAGTGACAGATGAACGAATTGTCAACTGTCCACACAGTCAACAGTCCAGAAGATATCAAGCGACGTTGCCGGGTCACCGTCTAATACTTGTCACGTCACATTAACGCGCGATATTCCAGCTCGTTTGAACGGTATCAATACTTTGCAAATTTTTTGTGGAAAAACTACTTCGAATAAAAATCTGAAAAAAATACCTGAGACTTTTATCGTCATACTAAAGGCCATGGTATTTTTTCCAGAAATTCGTGTTCTCGCCTATTGAAACATTTTGAATAATCAAACACACCTTGTATCTTAATGAAAAGCAATATTGAACAACTGAATTTGCTAGTGAGTTACCTCAGCTTTCATTCAATCAACAGTATAAATCAATCCCTTTTTTTGTGATCAAAAACAAGCTGTCAATTGTTTTCCAAAAGGGATATAACACAAAATTCAAAGAATTCATATTTCGAACAGAGATAGTTATCAAGAATCAAAATACGTTTCCGAAGCCTACAATTGACCAAAACTATAATGTCTCATCGAAATATAACTTATTGTTGGTTTTGGAATAGTGCTCGAATTTTTTTCCGAAAAATGAATTTTTTGACCGTGTCTCGTATTCACCCTGATTTACTATAGTTTATGTGATCATAACTAGACATGTATTTGAGTTCCGATCAACACATTTTCTAGCTTATTTTGTCTTATTTATACTAAAGAAACAGTTTTTTTTTTCGTCAATCCTACCGCGATACGACGTTTTTACGAACTTTGTCGGCTTATATCTCAGAAACTAAACATACAATACTTTTCAAACTCACATACTTTTCTAATGAGCCATCCCACAATAACATAGCAAAATTTCAGCCAATTCGACGTGCGGGGTCCTTTAGTTCTGAAGTAAAAATATGCTCAGCTTGATATAAAAAATAGTGTTGAAGTGGCTTGAAAGGCTTCCCCTATCCTCCTTAGGTAGGCACGATGTTCCACGAACATAATAGGAATTTCTCTTCGTGCTCTCCAAGAGATGAAACAAAGTTATTGTTGAACATTCAGAAATAAATGATTCCGTGGATGTCTGCTCGATTGGGGACCATAAAGTTGAAATATAAATATCTCATATATTTTACATGACAAGTGCGCGAAGTAGGTACTTCGCGCACTGTTTTACTTCGCGCATTGTTTTGTGCAA